GGAAAAAAAAAAAAAATCAAGGGAAAAAATCTCCCAACTCTAAATTAGCATTTGTGTCCATCAAGGTATTTTTGTTTTGCTCTAAGACAAGCAGTTTGCTGACTCCCTCTGATGAGGTACCATTGTCTTCATCGTCACTAAATGTAACCCAGTGACTGGGGAGTTTCAAATCTCTCGGAGTGTGTGTGGGGCTAGTTGTTGCTGGTGTGGCAAGTGGAAAGGAAACATCTGTGTCCAGGTCTAAGAGATTGACACTCTCTGTTAGTGAATTGGTGTCAAACTGCGGTGGCTGCTGGATGTCTGGGGTAGGAGGGCCTTGAAAGTCAGTGATAAACTCCAGAACAGTCGCTGTCAAGTGCTTAGTACCACTGCCGTCTGGGCTGGCAGTGGATGTGCAAGCTGAAAGCTCAGAATCTCTGGGAGAAAGAGGGAGGATGTCAAGTTCCTGTGCTGTAGGACTGTGCTCTGAAGGACAATTGTTGTTGTTGGAATTGAATGTTAAGCCCCTGAGAAGCACACTGTTACTGCTCTGAAGCACCTGCTGGTGAAGAGCAGCAGGAGCAGACTTCTTCCTTCGGGGCGGAACCTTTGGGGCAAAGGAGGAGTTCTGCAGAGGTGGCACACTTGCCTCCGAAATGCCTGGGCTGGGAGGCTGCCTGTCGCTGCTGTTTCTTCTCTCAGGAGCTTTGCCAGGCGGCATTGTTCTGGGCTTAGGCACAGGGGTGATTCTAGTGGGACTGGTGATGCCTTTGGCTTCAAGGCAGGACTCAGACAATCCAATGTGAAAGCGGGCAGGCTGCTGGTCAAGCTGCTCTTCTGGACATACAGGCTGAGAAAAGGGAACAAAAGAAATATGAGAATGAGTGACATTTTAAACGCAGACTTGGTCACAGCACTAGCTCTGCCCATCTAGAGGGGAAAACGATCACATAGTAGTTGGGATAAAGAGGATACAAACTGTGTTGAGTGCATTACTGAAAGAATTTGGTGGAACTGCTGAAAGAGATGAGGAAGTAGAAAGTAAAGGCATGGGAGTATTAGCTTTAAAGTAGCCCTGCTTTGCTCTTACGTGTCACATTGCATACTATGGTGTTACTTTCCAGTGCAGTATGTGGGGAAGTAGAAGTTTAAGTCCTGTTCACTCACTGAGTTCAAAATACATTCCTTTGTGACCATTTTCTTTTTCATATCAGAATTATGCTTGGGGCCACACTGCCCGACACTGAAATTTTGAGGCGTTCTTTAAATATGACTTTTCTTGCTGCAGTAATATTTAAATAATAAGGCTTCCTAAGGGTTGCATTAATGGAGCATTAGCACATGCCTTGTGATGCGCAAGGTTGAAGGACAATTAACTCCCGCTAAGCCAAGAAGTGCATTTGTTTCTTAAATCACGTGGAATTTTGCATTCTTCCTTAGTGCCTTATATGCTTCTCAAGCAAGAAAGAAAAAGAAAAAAAATCGAAGCAGAAAGGGATAATTGGAAAAAATGTGACATTGCGTTTGGTTTTAAAGGTGTTATCATGTTACTAATGCCACTGAAGTCAACATCCCTGCCATTATAAGTCCTGGCCATATTGATTCCCTTCTCCTTGTTAAAGGAAGGAAAAGCTCATTCCTATTGGATTTAGTCTAGTATGTTTAAACTGCATGGGCAGGATGATTAACCAGCTACACGTGCTCAAGCAGCCCACAGTAATACATTTTGAGGCCAGGTTAATTTAGTTCTAGCTAATTATCTCAATGTAATTATTATTCTCTATCTCCTGTTCTCAATACTTCTGACTGAAACCACACGAACGGGTACAGACTAATGCTCCATGCACCTAAACCCCAAGTGGGCAGTGGACAAACTAGCATAGGAACTGTTATGTAATTTATCGTGAAATACCTTTAGTCTGTCTATTTTGAAATATGTCAGGAGTAGATGAGGGTTAGTTAAATTTGAGGAAAGACTGTTCTTAATACATATACTTGTGAAAAGAGTCTCTTGAGAAGGAATGGGGCTGTTCGGTTTATTTCTCTACCTTATTTTTGTGGTTCTGCTCAGTGGAAGGCTGTGTGAACTACCTTAGGGCATACAAGTAGTGCCTTTCCAGACTGAGGTAAGATAGAGACCGTAAAAAACTAACTTTAAGAGAAGAATTGTTTAGCAAAGACCGTCACAGAGGAAGAATATGAAAGGACATATCTACGGTACTCATATGGCCTCCATTATTGTAGTATTCTACAGGAGCACATCACGATCTTTAATATATTTATCCTCACAATACCCATGTGACAGCTATGAGAACTGGGACTAAATGATTTGCCCAAGGTCACACAGAGTCTGTGGCAGAGCCAAGTGTCAGGCTAGAACCCTTACCACTGGGCTCCTGGAGACGATGTTTTACTATTTATTGGTTGTGGCAGGCTATTTCTCTTGTCAGTTTTCAGATACATTTTGTTAGTGTTAAGAAGTAACACTTGGAATAGTGTAGCTGACATCACAAGCTCTGGCAACTCCAATAAACCAACTCTGTGATTTATAACTTAATAAAACCATTATTTTTGGTTCAAAGCTTGACTTGCAGTTTCTCAGTTCAGAAGGGACATTTGTTATCTGCTATGAACAAAACTGGTTGTATGAACTTTGGGGATTTTGTTTTTCTCTAAGGTCTGGTCTACACTAGGGGATAAGTTCGAAGTAAGATACGCAACTTCAGCTACGTTAATTGTGTATCTTAACTCGAATTTTGGAGCCAATCACACTCTAGGAAGTTGAATGGAGCACACTCTCCCTTCGACTTCGCTGGTAGCAAGGCTACCAGCATCGATGGGTGCTCCCTCTCAGTTCAAACTAGCATGTTTTCACTAGATCCACTAATTTGCAGCCCAGAAGATCGACTTCAGCTGCTTTGATCTTACCTGTAGTGTAGACATGGCCTAAGAAAGCAACAAAATTTTGTTCTAAATAAATAAATATTAAAAAACCCCAACAAAACCCCCCCAAAATGAAAAAGGCAATTTCTAAACAATTTTGACATCAATTTGAAATAAGGGCTTTGGATGGAGGTAAGACCAAATAAAATATATTTTCTGTATTTGCTCAGGGCTAATTCTCAGACATTTTAGCATTTTCTTTTACTCTTACCAACGGCAACCTACATTTCAGTGTTTCAGATGCAGTTTGATCAGTGGAGCAACAATGCAGAAAGAAACAGAGGTTTGAAAATAATCACCAAACTATATATAAGTTCATAGGTATTATCACAAGTTTAGGATGCATGAGAGGCAAACCAAGGAGAAGATGAAGATTTGGGAAAATAATATCTGGAATTCTGCATTCAGTTCTAGACAATTCAGAAAGGTATGGACAAGTGAGGAGTTCAGGGGAGGGAAACAACTACCAAGAGGACGGACTATCAGAGACGGATGATAAAAGAGCTGAATATGGATAGAACCAGCTAGTAATAACTTTGTCAAAATGGGGAATAATAATTTCCTCTACTTGAAGTTCATTTACTGTGCATATAGGCCACAGTGACTGCCATGTGCAAACACACTTCAGGGACAGAAGATGTCAAACAGATTCCTGAGCCAGACTCAGAACTTCATGTAAACTATTTAACAACTTGCCACCCCTGCTAAAGCACACAATGAATAGCTGATGTGTTCTGCGGTAGCTATCTTACATTTTCGGGTTTGACTCCAGTTCTTTGCAAAGCCACTGGTTTCTTTACAGTCGGAACTTTGGGTGGAGGGCGATGGGGCACGAGCATAGGTCCTGGTTGTATCCCCGGAAATGATGCTGACTTGGAGACGCTGGGAAAGGCGTTAGGTGGGGTGAATGTTTGGGTTCTTATCGGAGCAGGCTTTAGAGCATCCTCTTGTGTTCCTGAAATGCAAAAACAACCATTGTTTGAATCTGTCTGAAGTGTAGTTCAAAGATCGATTTCCTTCATGGTCTTCTTTTCCAAAATTCTTTTGCCCAGTACTTTAAAGGGACAATGTTCATGCTGAAGATGAAAGTTTTGGCAATAAGCACAGAATTTCACCAAAAACATATCACTAGCGTGTCTTTAATTTTATGAAAAACTAGTCATTGCATATTCATTACACTCCTTTCCAGCAGCACTTCCAACCTAAAAACAGCAGCATTGTGCTATTACACAATGGTCAATGGATGGATTAGATTCCAGACTTTGCCACTGGCCTGCTGGATGGCTTTGGGCATGACATTTTAATCTCTCTGTGCCTCAGTTTCCCCATATATAAAAGAGGGATAATGATACTGCTCTCCTTTGTAAAGCACATTGTGTTTTATGGATGAAAAATGCTGTAGAAGGTGTTACTAGAGCATGAGACTCCTAAAATGAAAATGACAAGGCTAGTTTTCTTAGCCACGCCAGGTGAAATACAGAAAGTAAACTAATAAACTAGTGCAAAGAAAATTTGTTTTCACCAATTCTTTCTCATTTAATGTGCAAACATGCTCTCAAGAGCAAATATAAAAATGGCAATGTGGCGTCCCAAGGTTATTCTCTCTTAATGATTCCTGATTACATTAGCTCAGTTTTACAAATGAAAAGACATTTTCTTCTAATTGCCAGCCCATGCTGGGATGTGAGGATAAAGTTGAATTGTTTCTGGTTTATGCTTCATCAACAATAAAGATTCCGTATTTACAACTTAACAATTTTGGTGCTGATGTGGGAGTGTGGCTAGAACCCATATCACTCTACCGTAGCTGTGTAGACTACACTCTGCTAGCTGGGCATGTGAACTCTGTTGTTCCTGAAGTGAACAGCTACCCCTCCGGGAACAGATCTGTTGAGAAGGAAGATGATAGCTGTCTTTTTCAGAGTACAGCTGAATATCATAATCTATGATGTTCTTAGTAACAGGAACTGCAGGGACAGGTTTTAAAATATTACTTAATTTAAAATTTGATGGGGTCCCTTTAATATTAATCTTGAAACAGAAAGACAATTGGTATCCAAAATGACAGAAAACATTCCCAGGAAAATCTCGCAGGAGCCCACAAAGCAGTATTAAATGTAATATGAGCATAAATATATGTCTTATTTAGGTTGTCATCAGGGAAGGATAAAATAAACCTTCATTTTGTTTATCTGGAGATTTTGGAACTCTATTGGAAAGCTCTGCTTACCTCCTTTTGCTTCCATCAGGCATCTAATAGCTTCCTCCGCTTCCTGAGGTGTGGTGGTTTTGATCTGCTTGACATTATAAGGCTTACTTATTCCAGTCCGGGCTTTAGGCTTATAACAATAAAAGGGGGGTGGGGAAGAGTAGGTGAGTAATTCTGAAGGAAAATGCTTTTCCTGTGCTATCCTTTAACCAGCAGGCTGTATGCTGTACACATGTAATCACATCCAGTGATTCATACACCGGTTTCCACAAAACTCAACTGGTGGCTATTGGAGAATATACTAATATTTAAAAATGGCTTTAATTTTTCTTTGGCAGCTGTTAGATCTTTGTTGCTAGCTGTAGCTGCCATGATTAATCTCATTACCTGTCTCTTGTCTGATGGAGGAAAGGAAAATATTTTCACAGCATTTATTAGTAAATTTTACTTTTAAAGGTGCCCCCCAGTCATAGCCCAGAGCCAAGTCTGAAGGTCCAGCACAGGGAACAGTACAGGATCCCGCTAATGTGCCTCTTGACTAGGAAGGGGCTACCGTGTATGAGACCGGAGAGTCTAGTCCACAGGTCTATTCAGCCCTGGGCCTCTCCATTGAGGGTACGAGCTATGGTTGTGGTTTCTCGTGTGCCCTTCACATATGCACCAGACACTGGACTGTGACCACCAAGGCCATGGCTGACATAGGATCACAGCACAGCATTACTGTGCAGGAATGTGTGTTAGCATTAGTACTAAAGCAAAGTAACTTAACAGACCTTTCTTGTCTTGGTTTTGCCATAATTGCTCTATCTCCACTGCTCTTCAATCCCTTCAGAAACTTAGGCTAGGTCTATACCAAAAAGTGACCCTGCTCCATCACTCAGGGGTGTGAAATATCCACAGCCCTGAGTGGCGCAGTTGGGCCAACCTAATTCCTGGCGTAGACAGTGCTACGCTGATGGAGCCCCTCCTGTGAGCGGTTACACTGAGGTGCTGCAGAGGTGCCACTGTCGCAGTTTCAATGTCTGGTCCACCACTTACATCCATCCAACTTATGCTGCTCAGGGATGTGAAAAATACATATACATGCAGCCAGCGATGCAAGTTACAGTGACCTAAGCACTGTCCACCCCACACTACGTTGGCAGGAGATGCTCTCCCATTGAAAGAGCTACTATCTCTCACGGAAGTAGAGTAATTATGCCCAGGGTTTGATGAACCGTGGCGGAAGCCGCTCGCCAGCCCCGCACTGCGCATGTGCAAGAGCTGCATTGCACATGCGCGTGCACCAGTAAAAGGGGCGCCGGGCTGAAATCTGCTCGCCATGGGCGAGTAGATTCAATAGATTGTCGAGCCCTGATTATGCCTACGGGAGAGTGCTCTCTGGTCGGCATAGTGCATCTTCACCAGACAAGTTACAGTGGTGCTGACAGGGCTGTTCCTAGGGAGATGTAGGGCCTGGGACAACCCCCACTTTGTTCCTTCACACCTCTTCCCCCACTCAATACCTTCCTATAACCCTCTGTTCTGTCCCCTCCTGCCTCCCACTCCCCCCGAGTCCTGCATCGCTTGGGGAAGCAGAGAGGGGTAGAGGCGAGGCACTCTGCTTTCCCGCCACCATGGTGAAGCAGATCAACCCAGCTGGGAGATGGGAGTGGTGCAGAACAGGTGTCACTCTGCTTCCTGTGGCTCCTGAAACCACAGTAAGTCTGTGGGGGGAAAGGGAGGATGGCTTGGTCCCTGCTGCCAGCTCCAGTTCCCCCTTTCCCCAGAAACCACCTAGGCTGCTCTAGGCCCCGCGGCTAACATCAGTATGGGGGGACCATCCTGTCCATACAGCTGCTGTGGGCCTCCCCAAAGAGAGAGGCCTGAATGGGATGGCTCTGGGCACTGAGGTAGTGCTTCTAGTGTAGACCTGCCATTACTTATTTTAATAAGTCTGCCTGTGTCTGTATGTACGTGTACGTAGGCAAGTGTGTATATAACACACACACACACACTCCGTTTCCCCCCCCCCTTCTGATTATGTCCCAAAGTTACTGTTGCTGGGTAACTACAGCGTGAATGTATCCTTACTGCTTTGCTCAGCCCTCCTGACTCAAATCGTACCCGCTGGTTGGTGGATTTAGGCTCTAACTAGCACCTGATCCTGTTTTTTATGACCTGTTTGGCACAATGGTGCGGTGCTGAGGGACTCACTGGTTGCTGAGGCGCCCCTGGGAGAAGCTTTGCCGTCTGCAGGATGGAGCACAGAGAGTGGCCTCCTGAGGAGATGGAACCATCGGAAGGGGATTTTTTGACACACACTCCAGCTGCAAGGGGAGTGAGAATGACTTTTCAAATGTAAGCATCTGTGCAGTTTTTAATAAATAATCTCAACTGAGCATTAATGCTGCAGCCCATTTCTGACAATTCTGGTGGCGATGTTCTTAACTATTCACTTTCTGGTCAAAGCACATAAGAAAGGAAGGACCACACTGACGAACTGACTGTATTTTTAAAAGATATACTCTTCTGTAGTGGTCCTCAAACTGTGGGGCAGGATCCCAAAGTGGGTTGCGATCCCAATTTAATGGGATCACCAGGGCTGGCTTAAACGTGCTGTGATCCAGGGCTGAAGCTCAAGCCCCACTGTCTTGGGCCAAAGCTCAAGAGCCCTGGGTAGTGGGGTTCACTTACAGGCCCCCTGCCTGGGATTGAAGCCTTTGGGCTTTGAACCCCTGCTCAGGGAATTGGAGCTCAGGCTTTGGTCCCTCCCACCTATCACTGAAATGCAGCCACTGTTGGAGTGAAACAGTAGTTGTTCAACATCACAAGAGCTTACGCCAAGCAAAAATTCTGCTTGACTGAAACAGCAGTTGGTGAGGATTTAAGCAGATGGAGGTATTTACCTTTCATTATTAGTAGCAACAATGGAGTCCAGATGACATGGAAGAACTTTTAAAAAGAAACTTCAATCTTACCTGGAGGGGGAGGTCTCTGGGGTGGCTGAGGCAGGCGAGGCCTGCCAGGAACAGACAGAGATCTGCTTGGAGAACGGTGGCGAAGCTCCCCACCTCCTTCCAGATCCTGCTTTAATTCAGCTAGGTCAGAATCATCTAGGGGGAGATTCAGCAAAAAACAGAAAAGCATTTGAGAATTATGGCAGAGATACAGCACGAATGGAGTGTCAGGAGAGGGGCACATGGGATTTGAAAACTGAGCGAGACTGCTAGATGTGAGCAACAGTATATGGCTAATAGCTTTTTAGGAAATCGCTTATGTTTAGTGTCCCATTCACAAACACTCTCTCATTTTCTCAATTTAGACATTTCTAAACACTCTCCTGTTATTTTCCAATAAGATGTCCTCTGCAACTGGAATTGAAAAAGCAGGAAATCTTGTTTTCCTCTTTCAATTTATAAACAAAAAATAGGTGTTAGAGGATGAGCTCAACTAGTTTTAACATTATCTAGAAGCAGCTGTCTTGGCACAAACCAATTCTACTAGCCAAAAACACAGAGAGGCATTGGAATTACAATTTATCCGCATGTTCAATTCTCATGCTAATGGCCTCAATCATGATGAGGGATGGTTGGGACACTATCAACCTAACATACAATTAAGGTGCAAACAGCTCTTTCTGTAGACTCCTGTTATTGTCTTTGATTCCTATCTGCTTTGTTTTAACTACCCAATCTTCAGGTGCTTACTATTCCCAGTTCTGCCTTCCTGTTTTTCCCTTTGATATTTCCATATCCTCTGCTCCTTGTTCCCCCGCCCCCCATTTTCTCCCCTATTCATTTTGGGTCTGCACATCCTAAACTCAAAACTCCGGTCATCTGAAGAAGTGAGTTGTGCCCACAAAAGCTCATGATACCATCTACATGTTGTGTTAGTCTATAAAGTGCTACCAGACCATTTGTTGTTTTTTAAATGTATCCTGTACAGACTAACTTGGCAACCCCCTGAATTATCTAGAAGGACATGGTGACTAGAAACAAACACTTGAATTCACTGATTACAGATACTATTTCCTTTGTTTTATAAATCAGTTATTCGTACATGAAAAACATGCTAGACAACCTTTTTTTTCCCCATGTATGCAACACATTTAAGGTAGTTTAATAAAAAATAAAATGCTGGTTTTGTGCATTCCTTAGGTGGAATTCACAACTGTTTAACAACACATCAGATTAGGACAAGAAGTGAACAATTATATGCTGCTTAACTAAAGCCAAATTGGAACTGGTCAGGATAGTTCAGTTAACAATGCTAGCATAAAAAAAAATCATGTTATCATTAGGTAACCAGGACCTTAACTTTATAGCTCATTGGAAAGTTGCCATGTCTCCCATAATGCTGTTTCAGTAATGTTTGTAAGAGAATAGAGATAGCTATTGAGTAGGGATGTGAAGGACTAGTCGACTATCCGATAAGCAAAAGTCGACTAGTCACTTCCCCTCCCCCTTGCTGCCTCTATGAGATAGAGGCAGCAAGGTAGAGGAAGAAGAGGCGGTACTTCAAAGTGTCAGCGCTACTTGAAGCCTGGGGCCAGACCCCGGGCTTCCTGTGGTGCTGCCACTTTGACATGCCCTGTGCAGCCCAGGGTCAGCTGGGGACTCCCCTGCTGACTCCAGGCTCCAAGCAACACTTTCACCTTTGAAATGTAGCAACAGCCATTTGCTGCTCCTGAAGGGACGCCCCCAATTCCTCCCAGGCACAGGATTCCTCAGAGGCTGTTGCTACACTTCAAAGGCCAAGGCATCCTGTCAATTGAATATCTGACACATTGACTATTCAATAAGTCAGTTAATCAATACTTACCATCCTTGCTATTGAGTCATTCACTGCTGTACTGAGGTGTTCCATGGAGATCTCCCTTCCACCTTTTAGCCCATTCTGACTGTGCTTGGCTGCTAAAGCCAGACCAGTGTGCAACTACAATGATAGGCCTGCAGGCTAGGCTAGATCTTGATGTAATTTAGATTGATGTGACTCCTTCTCCAGCTTCACATTCTCTTTGCACAATAATGTTACAACAAAACAGAGGAGTGAAAAAGCAACCCGGTCATTTATGATACAGACATTTGGCTACAATTTATTCATGGATATTTTTAGTACAAGTCAGGGACTGGTCACAGGTTTCCATGAATTTCTCTTTGTTGTCTGTGACCTGTCCCTGACTTGTACTAAAAATATCCATTGCAAAATGGGGAGCTGCTAGGCAGCAGTAGAAGCCTGGCTGAGAGCTCTGAGGGCCCGCACCACCTATGGGGACTTGGGAGCCCCTGAGTCCCTTCCCCACAGCGTTGACCTGTGGGGTTCCCCACTGCCAAAGGCTGGGAGCTGTGGGAGCCGGCCAGGAGCTGTGAGATCTCCTCTCACCCGTGGCTAGTTGAAGCCCCTAGCACTTGCAGCAGAGAAGAGCTGTGAGGTTCCCCATGCCTGGGTGGAATTGGGGGTGTCCCCTGCTGCTCAGGAGCAGCAGAGTTCCCTTGCCACCTATGCTGGCCAGGAGCTGCAGAGTCTTCCCTAGCACCCAGGCTGTTACCCCCACTGCCTTGAGTAGCAAGAGTACCCTGCAGTTTTCTAGCTGCACTGGGCAGTAGTGGGACCCTGCAGCTCCTAGTTGCCTGTGGGCTAAAGTCACAGATTCCGTGATGTCCATGACGTCCATGATAAAATCGTAGCCTTAAACATACTTAACTGCTAGGGCAACTTGCCAGTGGGGGGTATAACTAAACAATGTATACGTGGGCACCTCTCCTAGGCACAATTACCTTGCCCTGAACAGAACAGAATCAAAGCAGGCTTCAGCTTAATTAACTCTCCTGTTTTTGTATTGCAGTAGTGTTCAGAAGTTGCAGTCATGGATCCTGGGTGCCTCTGTGCTGGGCACTTCTATGAACCAAAATAAACATATTTTGTCCTTGTGCTGCAAAGCCTTCTAAGCATAAGCCAAGACACAACATGTGAACACAACAAATAGCCAGGAGAAGCATAAAGAAATGAACTTTAAGGCCTTGCTTTAAAGAAGCCATGTAAGTTACCTTTATATGGACGTGGCTTTCCTCCACTAAGCACTGGAGATTTGCTTGAAGTTACAGTGGGTGCTACAGTAAAATATTCAGGACTCTCAGATAAGCCTTCTGTCATCTCTGTTATTGGGTGCTGAGGCAGCATGTCATCCAAATAATCATCTTCATCATCTAGTATATCACCTAAAACAAAATATTTAATAATACAAACACTGTCAGAACACACGTTCCCTTCTCACTCCCATTTTCTATACTGGTTATTTTAGCGTAGGCAATTTTTTGTTACTTCCATGTGCTTTTATTATAGACTTTTTGTGTATACAGATTAGGGTTCTCAAACTTTTTATTTTTGTTGCCCCCCCCTCCCCTTTGAAAATATTTCAGGCCGTGGTGACTTCCCCATCCCCCTCAGAAAAAGTGCTAGCAAATTACTGTACATACTGAGGTGCAGATTCGTGGTATTGCCACCCTTACACTGGCACTGATGCTGCAGTGGTGCTGCTGTCAGAGAAGGGTGGACAGACAGTGGCATCTGGGTGCCCAGCTCTGAAGGCAGCACTGCTGTCAGCAGCAGCACAGAAGGAAGATATGGTATTGCAACCCTGACTTCTGTGCTGTTGTTGACTGTGGTGCTCCCTTCAGGTCTGGGTGGCCAGAAAGCAATGTCTGCTGTATCTTCTCTCCCCCAGTGACATTGTTGTACTCTTACAATCTCCTTACGATGTGGGGGAGAACCCTTGTGGCCCCCTTTTGCATCAGGACCTCCAGTTTAAAATACACAGCTACAGATCATTTTAATGTATGGTGACTGTGACAGTGTGCAAGCGGGTGTGGATAGCAGGTCTACCTAAATAGCTCACAATGCCAGACCAGGGCTTTGTTCACAAACCTGTTTTTAAGAATGGTTTCACTACAAACTAAGATAGAGATCACACGCTGACAACAACCCTTTCCCCACAACCAAAGTGAACAATGCAAATTCTCATAGCTGAGCCTAGAGTTGTGCCACTGACCTTCTGATTCATAGTCCAAACTTGAAAAATCAAAGTTTTCCTCCAACAGACAGGAGTTTGCTGTGGGTGACATGGGTGCGATGCTCTCCCGTTTTCGAGCGATTTCCTCCTGAAAGCCCTTCAGCCAATCCTTAGTCTTAGGCCGGATATTCACTGCTCTGCCTTTGACCTAGAGTCAAGAAAGAATTGTTTTCCTTTGGTTAAGAGAATTATTACAAAGATGAGAATAGTGCCCCGACAGGCTGATTAAATTAGAATGTTCCCATAAGTGCTTCAGAAATCTGGATGGCAACAGAATCATTTCAGAAGTTCATTGAAAAGAAAATAGTCTTCCTAACGACCTCAAGGGAAAAAACCTCCAGAATTTATCCTTTGGATGGAACAACACTCCAGGTATTAACTGAACAACTCTACTGCTCTTATTGGGCTTATTTATGGTTCATGTCTTTTCTTCACAGTTTTCATACTGAAATTAGCTCTGTAGTTCTTGGTTACTCAATACTGCATTCAACAGTCATTTGGCATTGGAGAAAAATGGTAAAATATCACAGCAATTATGCTACACAATGTTTAAAATTATGATTATAATAATTAGGGAGGGTATTTTCAAAAGTATCTTAGTGACTTAAGAGCATATGGGAAAAAATGCTCTTAAACCACTTAGTCCAGTGGCTCTCAACCTTTCCAGACTACTGTACCCATTTCAGAAATCCGATTAGTCTTGCCTCGCTTAAAGCTACTTGCTTACGAAATCAGTTATAAAAATACAAGTGTCACAGCTACACTATTTCTGAAAAATGGCTAACTTTCTCATTTTTACCTATAATTATAAAATAAATTAATTGGAATATAAATATTGTACTTACATTTCAGTAAATAATATATAGAGCAGTCTACATACCCCTGGTTGAGAATCACTGACTTAGGCATTTTGAAAAATCCCACTCATATCATAATTGCTCTGGCAGCCTGATATTAAACCATAAAGCAGAGCAGACCCTTTAGCTGCTAATACATTTTCCATAACAGTTCATGGTTTGTGTAATAGTACATGCTTCACATAATTCCAAGCAGTTTGTCTGGTACGCTTGAAAAATCAGTGTGTGATGAGGGTTGACAATGGTAGATAGTCCCCAGAGCTCTGCTACAAGCAGGGCCGGCCCAAAACATTTTGGCACCTGAGGCGGGGAGCTCAAATGACGCCCCCATTCCCCTCGCTTGGGCCAAAACTGCCTTCTTCCCGTTCTACTCCTTTCATGGTACTGCAGATAGAATACATATGCACCAACAGCAGACACAATTTTCTACACTCTGGGTCCCAGTGGTGCCCCCCCAACAATCTGGCACCTGAGGCGGCTGCCTCAGTTCGCCTCATGGTAAGGCCAGTCCTGACTACAAGCAACAGAACAGTCAGGGTACGTCTACACTAGCTCGTTAGTTCGAGCTAGGTAGGGTAATGAGGGCAAGCAGAGTTGCAAATGAAGCCCGGGATATTTAAATCCCGGGCTTCATTTGCATGTTCCTAGGCGCCGCCATTTTTAAATCCCCCTTAGTCCGAACTCCGTGCCTGTGGCTACATGCGGCACGGAGTAGGTAGTTCGAATTAAAGATCCTAATTCGAACTACCGATACTCCTCGTGGAAGGATAATTAGGATCTTTAATTCGAACTACCTACTCCGTGCCGCATGTAGCCACAGGCACGGAGTTCGGACTAAGGGGGATTTAAAAATGGCGGCGCCCAGGAACATGCAAATGAAGCCCGGGATATTTAAATCCCGGGCTTCATTTTCAACTCCGCTTGCCCTCATTACCCTACCTAGCTCGAAGTAACAAGCTAGTGAAGATGTACCCTCACTGAGAGTGAGCACCTCACAAGCAGTGCTGGGTGAGATAACACTGCATCTGCTGCAGCACTCAGTAGTAAAGCTTCAGGTGCCTAAACATGAATGTGGGTATCTAACCTAAGTCACCCATTTTTGAAAAGTTTGGTGTGAATTCACTAAAATAAATTGGAGATGATTTTACCTTAATACCATCCATATCCAGAACACTGAGCGCTGACCTGCTGTCTGCAAAAGTTACCATCATCTGACCTCGATTGATCCTGGTAAGAACAGGGAGAGGAAACAATTGTACAGTTTGCCGTCCACAAGGAAATACAAGAACTAGATCGTGACTGTCATAATTCTGGATGTTTTCTCATTTAGCTCTCTAAATAGAGCAATTACTTACAAGTCTTTTTGTGATGGGTGGGGCCGAGTATTTCCAACATGGGCTGTCCCTCATGTGATCCCACCAGAGTAAACTCTACTGGGGCTGTCCTCAAAGCAATGGTTCATCCCTCTCAGCAGAGGCTGAGAAAATGTCATAGACCTTTCTTCATCCACAGTATTCTCTCCTACCCCATTTAGCAGCTCTGCCCTTCCATGTATCAGCTTTATTTGTTCTGTGTAAACTCTGCACCAGAGCTGCTGCTTAGTTGTGGAACACAACCTCCTCAAAAGGCTACTAGTCTGTAATTCTGCAAGTTGCCAAGGGTCGTGAACAAAGCAAAGCACAATTCTTTCACACTCCTCTCAGCATTCATGTCATGCTCTAAATCTTTAAAAAACATTTGTGAGAGGGTCCTAAAGTTGCTCTATAATCCATATCCCCAGCTTTGTAGTGTGCAGGGCTAGAGAGTGAGAGCCAGGCTTACAATATTCAGCAAAGCAATCTACTGTAATAAGTAGGTCAGATGCTTCAACGTTGATTTGTTGGTCTTGCTGTCAAGTCACAATTTGTTGCCACCAAGAAGTTACATTCCTGCAGGGAGCAGCCGCTGTAGCGGCTGCTGTGGCCAGACATGATGTAAGAGGTATGTTCCAGCTGAAAAGAGTAACATGATTCCCATTTCACTGGCACCATGTGATATTTGCTCGCACTTTTCCCACTATAGATGGCTATTTTTGATCCTGTTGTTTTCTTCCACTTATGGTAATATATATCAGCTAATGCCAAGCTAGGCTCATTTCCTTCAACATAGTTACCAGGAGCCCAAAATAACTGGAAGGAAACATAATTGCTCCAGCAGAGTATAGAATTAAACATTCTCCCTCACACTCAGTAGATCCAGGAATGACAACAGAGCCAGAGACCCCAGGGCTAATGGCTCTAAAATCAAAACAAGATGCAGTCACTCACAAGGTCCAAATGGGTGTAAATACTTCTTAGTCACAAGAATGGGAGGCACAGGTTAGAAGCACTGCAAACTGAGGCAACAGCCAATGTATGAGAATTAAAGGGCGGATACTGAGCAAGAAGAGCTGACCCTTGTGAGGCAGACTCAGGGCAAAGCCACTAACCTTGAGTACTGCGTACCCCTCTCCCTCATGTAGCCAACAAACCTGTCAGGATTTTTCTTTAGTAGGACAGAGAGAAATGAAACGTTAAGTGCTAATTTCTAATAGTTAACACAAAATGAATACGCTACAATGTAAAATGGTTATTCCTAGTTCACACAGCTGACGCATTTTAATTAGGATTTAAAAAAAAATAGATTGCATATATCACATAATCAACATTTACCTGACAAGAACAACGATGCCATAATTCTCAAATATTTGCATCAGCTCAGTCCGCAAGTCCTCGGGAAATTCATTTTTCTCTTCAAGTGTTGGTGACTGGAGATTTACCATTACAGTGGCATCCAACGGGCCCTGGAAGGATGAGACTTCCTGGAAAACACTCTCACGGGCAGCCATGTTGACTTCCTGGATTTCCACTTCTACAATAGCTAGCACGGGCCTAGATTTTACACATACACACAGACATTGCTTTTAGGTTATGTAAAATCACCCTCAAGTAATAGAACATGCAAAAGATTGGTTGTTTGAAAGCTAGAATCTATTTTAAAACTTTGTACTTCTATAGTATCTTTCATCTCAGGATTTCAAAGCACTTTACAGATACTTTAATTAAGACTAACACTACCCCTTTGAAGTAGATAACTATAATACCCCATTTTACCCTTAGGGCATGTCTACATGGCAGCTGTGAACATGCTTCCTTGCTTGGGTAGACAGATGTGTTAGCTCTGCTTGAGCTAGTATGCTAAAAAACAGCAGTGTAACTGGGGTAGCAGCTTCCAATCACAGGGTTGGAAGAGACCTCTGAGGCCATCGAGTCCGATCCCCTGCTAAAGGCAGGACCAACCCAAACTAAATCATCCCAGCCAGGGCTTTGTTAAGCCAGGATTTAAAACTCTCCAGGAATGGAGATTCCACCACCTCCTTAGGTAACCCATTCCAGTGCTTCACCACCCAAGGGATGTCAGATAGCATGTAACTGAATAGTCAAGTAAGCACATCAGATTTTAGTGGTTACACAACTGTTTGATAGTCCTTAGGGGCGGGCCAGCAGCCATTGGGCTCCCAGTCCCACTCCCGGGGAGCCCCTGCCCCACTCCCGGGCAGCTCCCCGCCCCACTCCCGGGAAGCCCCTGGGAGCCATTTTAAAAATGGCTTCCCACACAGACCAGCTCCTGCCTGCTGCCCCACTGCCTTTGATAAAGCTGGTTCCCCCCAGCACCATCTCTGTGGTGTACAGGGTGTGTGGGAGGCAGAGCCCCGAACCACACTGTTCAGTCCCAGCTCACGCTGGACCAGGGAGCTACCTCTGCTGTGGCTCTGAAATTTAAACGTAGGAGGAGCCGGGCTACCCATGTGTCCAGCTCCTACTACATTTAAAGTGCAGAGCTGCAGCACGGGTAGCTCTTGGATCCAGCACCTCCCCATACTGATTAATTATGTAGTCGATACAAATTATATCAAATACACGATTAGCCATTTACCCGCCTCTTAATATCCCTACAGGCAACAGAATCCAGGAGTCTCATAGACGGTCTCACAGATTTACCACCACTACACATAGCTAAAAAATAATGGTAATCTTATAATGCTAGTTGGCGGAACCGAACCTCTGGAACTTAGTGCATAAGCCGCTACAGCTTGAGCGATAAAGCCAGCTGGCTCTCAGCTAACGCTGTAAAGCAAACTCATTCTCTGTCACTGAAAATGGTCTAAGTGCCACTACATGCGACAGTTAATCATAACAAGTAGGTGTGTGGGTTACAATAATATACTGTAGACGCAAACTTAAGTACTACATTAGTACGATTATTTGCAATTCTATAAGGCCTGCCATCCCAAGTAGGGATATAAGTGACTAGTTGATTATCTAATAAGCATATGCTTATTGGACAGTCAACTACTGACTCACCTAAGTCGTTCCTCCCCTCCACTTACTGGCTCTATCAGAGAGAGGCAGCAAGGGGGGGAGCAGGGCTGGTGATGGTGGGAGCTGGCTCTTGCTACATTTCAAAACCAGAAGCACCACAGGGAGCATGGGACAAGTGAGAGACTCAGGCAGTTCCCTGCTCACTCCGTGCTCCCTGTGGCACTTCCGCCTTTGAAACATACAAGAGCACTGGAGGCTCTTGTACATTTCAAAGGCGGACGCGCCCTTAACGACTAATCGAGTAGCTGATGGAAATTCCATAGACTTTTCAATTAGTTGATTAATCTAAATTTAACAACCCTAATTGCAAGATCTCCGAATGCTTTACTTATATTAGTAAATTGTGTGCCACCACCTCTCTGAAATAGATATGTGTTATTTCCCATTAGGCATAGTGAGGTAAAACAGGCTGCTGAACACTAATGCTGTGAAAAGCCCAGGATTAACTTTTGTGATGCTGAAGACTGCTGAGAGACACAACACAACAGCATTTCCATAGAGCAGCCTCTGATAATTACAGAAGCTATGTTGAAAACAGACAAGCTCCTGAGATACAGTTATCAAAAGCACTTATATCATTCATATCGGAACAAGTGAAAAAACAACAGTGAGCAAAGACAATTAATCAGCATAGAGAGCTTCTCCCTAAAGAAAAATTAATCCATGTGGCGCTCTCAATTTTTGGGTTTGTTCCCTTCCCCTTTCTCCATTTATCAGGACACTGGCGAGGCTTGCTGTGTTTGGATCACAGAGAAGATCATTAACATTCACCCCTGTTCTATACACACACAGTTTATACTATTAAGGCCACATATCTCAGCTGCCTTCCTTCTAGTAGAATACGAGGGGGTAGTATGTCAATGCCATGCCTTCAATTGGCTGGAGCATCTGCAATGAGCAAGGAGAGGCATTCGACCATGCACCTCTTCTTTCTTCAGCTCATCCAGCCCTTGCTGAGATCACAGTACAGAGGGAAATTATTGCAAGGCCCCTGGGCATTGCCACCCTCTGGGTTTAGAACCATGATGGGGTTAAATGTCTAAGTACTGAACAGATTAAATATGTAGTGTGTCCATTAACAATCATCTTTAGCCCTTCCATTGACATGTACTTAAGTGAGCCTCAATAGAATCAGAGAAAGATCCTCTAAGCTAGGGCATTACCTGTGATCAGATGCTTGCAGCTCTGCTCTTCCATAATACATCAGGGCACCAGGAGTCCAAGTGTGCTTGACTTTAGTTTCAGCACTCAGATCACTATCTAGGAGATTGATCTCTCCAGCTACAGAGCACAAAAGAGCATCAAAGTCCATAGACTGCAATAATAATTACAACTATTTTAGCAATCTGTATTTAATCAAAAAACATTGTTCCTGAAGCACTCCACCTAAAAGATGGCTTGTATCCCTCTCAACTTTGAATCTCCAGATAGGAAACAAAATGTAAAAAGAAGTGCAATAGATAGCATTGCTCATCAGAACACAACAAAACACAAATCAATTACTCAGAGACCTATGTAATTAATACCACACACAGCCACATTTAAAACAGCATTTTCCTCCAGCCTGAAAAAGCTCATATGTTGAAAAAAATCACATTCAGTTAAGTGACCAGAAAGAGAAATTCTGTATGGCTCTAGCCTCTGTGGCTTCCAAATAGTGACAGGAAGTGTTCAAATCTGGGATAAGAGAGAAGTATAGATTGTTGCTTCCTTACCAGCTAGTGCCTCTCCCTCTATACCATGGTGAGACCCTGTGCTGATCTCACAATCATGACGAAATGGAAAGAACCCTTCTCACCAGCCCTAGCAATGCTTATTTCTCATCACCAGAGCTCAAGATGAGTGGAAGCCAGGAGACATGATAGTGTCCCATGGTATAGCTAGTATGAGGCTATCATTTCCTTTTGATGTAGGAATTCAGTTGTAAACAACCTGCAAATAGCTCTCAGGCCCACACATCCAGTATCATCCACTATCTAGAACATAAATGGAAGTTTTGGGCAGAAATGGACTTTTGGGCAGATAAGTGAGGATGAGATCAACTGTTGAGCAAGCAGCAGGGGAAAGAGGGTGCCTCTGCTAATGATGAGAAGCAGGGAGAGTGGAAACCACTTTTATCCTCCCAGCCAAATGTTATTTTCCTCCTGGCTATTCAGCTGGAATATTTTGATTATATACACCAACTCAAATTCTTCTATTCCCATGTGTAGGGCCCTAGTAGCTAAGATGAAATGCAGCCCTACTAAAATTCGAGTTTATTTCTCACAGAAAATGGAAGTTCACATACTGTTATCCCTTTCATCTTGTCCCTTCTACAGTTTTATTGATTATAAGCTTATGCTTCTACTTACTGGTTGCTCTTATTACTACCCCATCAGATTTTTAAATAAATATGAGATGATTTATGTTACATAAACATCCTCTCTGGTTATCCTCAGTTTGCTTCATGGCATTTATATGGAGACAGTTCATAGGGTGACCGTTGTATCTTAAAAGGCAAATTCTCCTTTGCGTGCATGAATCAGATGATTTCTCATGTAACTGTTCGCTTTGCATGTGTAAGTGCAATTTTTTACACACACTAATGGATGATGTGCTGATTTAGGGAAGGATATGGAAATATGGCTCTGGCTACGAAAAGTTTAGTTGTTTTTTTTATAAACTTAGTATTTTATAGCTTTTAATTTACAGATAAAGTAAAGCATTGCACTTTCATAGCACTTTCCATTCAAGGATCTCAAAGCAATTTACAATATCCTAACATTCAGTATTATCATTCCCTAATGACAACTAAGGAAATCAATAACATCTAAGGAAACCAAGGAACAAGGAGATTGAAAGCCTGCTCAGACCCTTATTGATATCAGTAACAACAGAAGTAGCTAAATGATTTGATCAGGTTCCAAATGTGACTTCTGTATTCATGCAAGCAGTCTCACTGAAACCAAAGGGAGTATCACCATGAGTCTCAAAGGGGTAGCCTGATTAGTCTGTAACTTTAAAAACAACGAGTCCCATGGCACCTTAGCCCTGGTGAGCACTAGGGAGTTATTTCGAAATAATTCCCCTTACTTCAAAATAACAAGTGGAGTGTCAGCTCCACCAAACCCGTTATTTCAAAATAAGGGGCTGGTTATTTCGAAATAACAAATCCTGCTTTCCACAAGGAATAACTCTTATTTCAAAATAGTTATTTTGAAACAGAGGTAGTGCGGATGCTCCACTGCTACTATTTCGAAATAACTACTCCCCAGAGTCATTCAAAGTAATTACTACCCAGTGCTTCCTCAGGCTCTAAGTCAAGATAGCATGTCCACATTAAGGGACACTGCCTTGCACTAATATTAAGAATTCCTTGTAGTGTGGACATGCTATTTCAAAATAGTTATTTCAGGAATTATTATTTTGAAATAAATTATTTCAAAATAATTTCCTCGTGTAGACATGCCCTTAGAGACTAATTAAAATTATATATCTATATTTTTCAGATGAGATGATCTTGCGTCAATCACAGCACCACCCAGACTGAAGACCAGACCCGTGTATACAACCTAGAATCCCAGATTTCCAGTCTTCTTCTCTAACCACTAGACCAAATGCCTTCTTTTGGATCCAGTGAGATCTGATTGCCCAGCCCGGTCATTTAAAATGAAAAATGCAAACATCAAAAAGACCCTACACACCTGTTTTATCAAATGGAAACTTCTTTCTCCACCAAAGCACTCGGTCAGTCCACGCAGGGGTTCTGCACTTATCGCTTGTATCATAAGCCTCTGAGCCAACGTCATATTTATAGGTCGGTCCAAAATTAATAGTGCCTTCATGAAAATCTTTAAAAATCTATTAAAAGAAATGTCATTTCAGCTAAATTCCTGCTTATGAAAGTGTCATAGTCACACATTCACCTTTATTAGTATTAGCACACTTCAATTTTTTTTAATGAACATACACAAAGAAACATATGTCTGACAATGCCCTCATTTTCATTACATCTAAAAGGCAATTAGTTCAGATCAAAATCTGGCTATTTTAGAAAATGGTTATTTTCCATTTGGAGCAAATGGAATAAATCCACTCACTTTTCCACTGGATTTCTGCAGTTGTAGTTGATCAAATTCCATGAGTCTTTTCCAATCTTGTCGTTTAACAGAATAAAAGACGTCTTCATATGTCAGCTCAATGCGATAGTTAAAATCACCACACCAGAACACATAGTCATGCGAGAACACATTTCTTCCCTGGTTAGGAGATACAGAATTTAAGACCTAATTTAAAATTATATATTTTAATCAGCTGAGTTTTAAAACAGTGTCTCCCTGGAATAGTATATTTTGGACTTGTTTACTAGGTTTTAATAGCTAAAGCCAATGCAGACTAAAAATGTGGTCTCTATCTTTCCTCTTGCATCCGTCAGTTATTCAGTTACATTTTCACATCCATAATTTAGACATCTGATTTGCTGACACTGTCAAGGACTTATATGACTGCATGATCTAACCTGCAGCCACAAAACATTCTTGCTATTGTCTGTACATACAAAAAATAGAGGTTTCAGTCAAGATCAGGTTGAAAATTTGCCCCTACAATTGCATAGCACATTTCTGTAAATGTAAAGTAGTGATTTTTAAGTAACTGAAATTTTTTCAAATAAGCTATAAACCTTTAAACACAGGGATTCATAAAATAAACACTTCAGACCTGTTTTTAGCATCACTAGAGGGCACTGTTAATATGCAGTACACACACAGAAAGTATATACAAATATTGTAAACGTACAGGATACAAAATAGTTAATGCACTATTGGAAGTAGAGATTGCTATTAGCAAGATTTTATGGCCATTTAGAATGGATAGGCTATACTGGGCTTCAATATCATCACTATTATTTCCAACGTACACTGAAACTGGTTAATATGCTATGTGTGTCAAGCCTCTAAACACTGGAAACAACAGGGAGTTGATTTTTATGTTCTTCAAACTAAATGCTATACTTTGCTGACTTGACAGAATAAATGATCACATCACAAACTGGTCTTCTCATTCCTTGGCTAACTGGCTTTCTGGAGAGATCTGAAAGAAATGAGAACTGTGGAAATCTAAAGTGGCCAACACCATTAAGGCAAGTATAGGAACATAGCCAGAAAAACCCCACAGAATCCCTTGCTGGCCTTAAAGAGAAACAACTGAGAGGTGATCCCCAGAATTGCATCCAAGAGAAATTGTATGTGACATAAATAAAGGGGAAAGGGATCTCAGCCTGAGTTTGCCACATTCTGGTAAAGCTAACCATTAAGATCTAGGGATTCTTGGGAAAATGAAGAGAAGAAGGATGAAGAAGAGCAGGAGGCACGTGGGCTATGTTTAGGAGACTGAGGAGTTGTGGCATATCATAATCAAGGAGAAGGAGTGGCTGGAGTATGACGTACTGGGGTATGCTCTGAGAGAAAATGGTCTTTTAGCAACTCTTGCTAACTAAATCAAGTTAGAGCAGCCTCAGGATGAACTAATCTGTTCTGGGTCTGAGCAGAGAACCAGGGATCCATTAGTGACTCTGGGATGCCACCACACCTGGTTCTCTAAGCATAATCTTGTCACACTGGAGAATCGGGCCCACCATACTTAATGTTGTCAATCCATGAATCAGATGGGTGTGCTAGTGAGTGAGAAAGTATGAGGACAGGAAACTGCTTAGAGCCTTTCATTGTTATCTTTCAGGTATTCTAACATCTGGGTTTTCAAGGGGTTAGAATGTTTGTAAAGAAAGTATCTTTTGGTTTGGGGTTAGCTGGTGTCCATGGACATATGCTTTCCATCTTACTTTCTTTTTTATTAAGTTCTTTTATATGAATACTCCATGACTTTGAATTGTCACCTGGGCTCATCTGCCAGATGGGATACACTGCTACCAACGCTCTCAATGAAAAATGTAATGACACAATTTTCACATTATTTCTGGCTTAGACATCCTAGATTCTTACCATTGGGAAGCTGAGTTTCTGTGTAATCTCTTTATAGTCTTCATTTCTCTCTTTCACTTGAGACTGCCCAGCTGTCAAGTGACTACATATGAAGCAAAAACTGGTGCTGTGGAACTGGAAACGGATGCCTACTGCCCCTTTATTCCCAGCTTTCCCGCCCATCCCTGTCTTCACTGTGTCTATTGCTACATCCCTGGACAAAGAAAAGGGGGAGTGAGAGGAAAAAATCATTAATCGTTACTGGAAAGAAAACCCTTCTAATTTAGAATGATGTTTTTATTTCTCCTCCCAATTATTAAACAGATGAATAAAGAGATTCATGTTGTTCAATGGATCTCTTAGGTGTTTTGCTACAACATTACTTTTAACCATATCAATGTTTTAATGTTTCAGATTACCAGTTAAAAACAATAATACAGCAAAAAAAACCAAACAATTAAATGAAATAAATTTCTTCTTGGCAGCCTTTCCAAACTATGCAGCATTCTTTGCATGAGAACATTTCTGTAGCTTTTTTTAATCTAAGGTTTATTTTTGATGTTTATCACTTCTTTAAAGGAATTTTTTAATAAAAAGTCAATAATTAGTGGTCATTTTTTACTCCATTTGATTTTCCATTCTGCTTACATGAATCAATACAGAGCAGCTGGTTATCAAACGAAGTGGCAATTCCATATCATACAATGCAAATTTTATAGTAGATAACGGGACACATCTCTGGTATATCAGTGCAAATATTAAAACACAGATTATAAAATCTATATCTGTCAACATAGTTGATTGTTAGAAACAAATACTTAGACCTTGAGCACTGAAATGGCATCAGTTTTAACAACATATTGCCTGTTGCATCCATATTGTTAATTACATGGTATTTCAATTAAATCCTAGCAATCACTGTTCTACATTATATTATAAAGGGACTGGTCTGGCAAAACAGACCACCTATTAGCAGGATAATTAATCCTAGATAGCCAGTCTATTCTGAGAATAATGTACCTCTGTCTGCTCAGATAAGCCATTGGTGAGATCATAACTGTAACTGCCCAACCCTATGTAAATCCTTCCTATTGAGAAAATTTCCAGTAATTTGTACATAAAATCAAGTAGATTGGAGTGGAATATTCGTGTCCATTGATGCAGTATAATATCTGGAGGGGACAAATGTTAGGTCTTTGGTTGACTTTTGATTACAAATATTCTTGGAGGTTCTAGATGTGTGAGGGGAATTTCATATCACAAACCGTGCCTGGCCCATGATTTTGTGTGTGGGTAGGGGTGTGCGTGCATGTCTTGCTTTAATGGCACCCAACCCCATGCCACAAGAAACCATTTGTGAAAACCCAACACCCTCGTACCTGATGAAGGGAACATGATACGGTCGTACAAAGATGAAGAGACAAACACCAACAAGCTGCGCTGATGTCAGCAGAATGTACCGGTGAGTCCTGGAAACTGCTTTCTGAAGCTGTTCCCCCCACATCTTCCTATTAGTTGTACTGGAACAAAACAAAACAAAACAAAAAAAATTTTTTTTTGAAAGAATCAAACAGAAACTAAGTAAAAAATTAATCATGCTGAAGCTTATTCCTTTGCAATGGCTCATCCCCCTGCTCTTGCAACATGAGGCAGAGACCAGTAAGTTGAGCGCTAAATGGATGTTAACAGACTAATAAGCGACCACCTACACACGCTCAATGGTGAATACACTGCTACTCTCCAGTGATAGTTGGAAAGCTACGTCTGTATAGATTATACCTTGCAGACCTCCTTATTTTTCTTGTCCTAAAGATCTACTGTTATCTGCAGATGAACAACTAGCCCACCAACCATGATGCATACTACCACAGCTTTATCATTCCTAACAATAATCTGCATGGGCTTCAGAGGGGGTAGCTGAGTTAGTCTGTAACAGGATAAACTTAAACAACAACAAATGGTCTGGTAGCACTTTATAGACTAACAAAACATGTATATGGTATCAAGAGTTTTCGTGGGCACAGCCCACTTCTTCAGATTACCGGTGTTTTAATAATAAAATAATAATAATAATCTACATGTTAAGACAGAAGAATCAGTAGTGAAAAGTTACCTTCCTGGGTTGTTTTTGACCCTTTCCCCTTGAGTTTTCTGCCAGCCTACCAAGGAGCAAATCTTTACGCATTCACGGACAAGCAGAGTTCATTCCTTACCTCTACTTCCTACCCTAGCAGTCCTTTTATGAAAAACACATACACCAATGCTTAAGCACAAAGAGATCTTATTCCACATGTGCACTCAGGTTGTATGTAGAGACTCGGACAGTTTAATTTTTCAACATCAGACAAAAAATCATAGAAGCATAGTGATAAAGTAGTGCCCTGCATTGGCTTAGAAAACACGGTAATATGCATTTTATAAAAATATATATATATATGAGAGAGAGAGAGAGAGAGAGAGAGAGAGAGAGAGAGAGAGCGAGAGAGAGAGAGAGAGAGAGAGAGAGCGAGAGAGAGAGAGAGAGAGAGAGAGAGCGAGAGAGAGAGAGAGAGAGAGAGAGAGCGAGAGAGAGAGAGAGAGAGAGAGAGAGCGAGAGAGAGAGAGAGAGAGAGAGAGAGAAAAAATGCAAAAGAGTGTACATTTGGGCTGATAACCTTGGCATCTGTTAACAAAAAAAACACATTTTCACACATATTGGATTAGATGCAGGTGGATATACAAAGCACAGCTCTGCGTTCACCTACCTGGTATTTACAATATTCCCTGCATTTAGTTCCACCATCTCTTCAAATCCCACAGCAAATATGTCAGGAGGACAGCTCTCATCATCTGCGTGGAGAGGAACAAAAGTTATGCAAGACTTACCAGTTTATTGTTTTGTTTAATAGCTTGCTTTCTTGACAGAAATTAGAAAAAGAGAAGTCACACAGTTATGCTTGTGCATCCTTGTGCTATGTAATTATAGTTCTTTTTAATCTATCTTCACAAAGAAACCCTTGCATTTCCTTTATCATTTTCATGCTTTGCTCCTGGCTTGTCTACATCTTTCTGGTAGGAAGGAGCCCAGAAAAAAGCACTTTACTCTAGATGTGGCCTCAGTAATGTTGCTTAGAGGGAGATCCTCACCTCCCAGATCTAAAATATGATGCCACTGTGTACACAACTCAAAAGTCACAATGTCCCACCCCATTCCATCCAGTCACATTGTAATACACATTTTGTGGTCTAATAGCTCTGTCTGTTTTTGAAACAGATAATTTATCTAGCTGCAACTCTTGTCTTCTACTAGCATGTTCCTTCCTCTCTGCAGTGCCTCGGGGCTTTGAGGAACCCATGGCAGTTTCTTGCTCACTTCATTCCCTGTCTTATTTAATAACCCCTACCAGGGGTTGCACACCTACCAACGAAGGAATGGATTTTGTCACTAATGCTCTTTAGCCCAAATGCTGCAGGAGGAGTTGGTGGGTGGCACCACTGATAGGCAATGTAGAGATGCCTCTCCTCTCATCCAGGTGGGAGCATATCAGTAGAGAAGGACGCAGACAATCAGACACCAATCTCTCATGTGGTGGCACAGAGCATATCTACATCTGCTTGTTCACCAGATTTGCCCTTCCTCTTAAGATTTTTCATTAGAATTAACTAAATAAAAAGAACTTCACTCAGCCCTTACACCCACAAAGAAGAATACTGTAAGATCCTAAATCAGGTTGTATCTCACAAATTAAGAAGAAAAGCAGACAAGTGCACGCTCAAAAATAGTAATTGCATATTTCACATGCGTAATTTTGACACTCATAGTTGAAAATGTAGCCATTAATGTAGACTAAGGGGGCTGCGCCCCCTGCTTGCTATGCTCGCCAACCTCCCTCCTGCCTTCCCAGAGCACCGGGGAGGCCACAAACATAACAGTCTGACGTCCTACTACTAAAAAGGATCCTGCTTTCAAATGTAATAAAACACATTACCCTTTTGTCTGAGAGTGCTTTTTAACATTAAAAACATTATATAACATTTTCAGAGGTGCCCAAAGGCCTGATTTTAATATATATTTAGGCATCAAAAGATTCAGATGCCAGTGGAATTTCTAAAGGTGTCTGGGCACCTAACACCCAGTTGGAATGAAACACAAGGGGAGGAATGGAGGCGCATGAATAAAAAGAGATAGTTAGGGACGGACTCTGTGCTATCTGGTGAGAGATTTAGTACAGAAGTCCACTTCAAAAAGTCAGGTGATTTTATGTCATCTTTTGCACACTCTGGATTCTGGGATGCTGTAATAGCCAAAACACTCTTCAGCATCAGTCAGTGCAGCCCTGAGGGCTTTTTTTTTTTTTTTTTTATTTTTTTTTTTTAACTTTTAGCATCCTTCCCAGCCCCACCTATAGCCCATTGCACTATAGCTTGTGAAGGGGTGCAGCATAAGGCCAAGTGGGAGCATAACGGTCAAATTTGGGGCCAAACTACTAGGCATTTCCTTTAGACACCTACAAATAATGTTTTAAAATAAACAGATACACTACCACTCAAAAAGTCTTACCCTGAAATTCAGAAACCCCAGACAGCTTGGGAGAATCCAGCAGCCAGTCTGTTAACTCACTGGTACCAAGGATGTTGCTTCTAAATTGTTTGCCTCCATTCACATTCCAGGTCCCCATGGCAACACGAATCCGCTTGAAATGCGTGAATTCAAACTGACGCTCTGACATGGCCTTCAAAATACTCGGAGTCACTGATGGAGAGAGCAAGTACAAACAATTTGCTGCAGTGGAATAAATGCTACTACAGATGTCAGAAACACGTAGACTTACTGTGAAATAACAAAACTTACCTTATTGGCATCAATGCAACAACTAAAAAATAATTCCAGTCAAACCAATAACAACTGCATAACTGAAAATGAGGCTATGAATTTCTTTCCTGATAACTGGGTGCAGTCACTGAAATGAGTTTTACTATTCACAAATGGAGGTAAGTGTAGGGGAAAGGAAAAATGGGACTTTCACAGTGACAAACTGACTGTGACAAACATTTTATCCTGTCTTTAATCAAAATTCCTCTTCTTTTTGTTTGTGTATGTGTGTTGGTGGGTTGATGCAAATAATTTTTGATCAGCATTATTTGCAGGAGCAATTTGTGTTAGTATCTGATTTTCAGGTGCTGTCAGATATTTAGACACCTAAATGACCTAAAGCATTCACAAACTGTCAGTTTGTCAAAACAATTCGGTCCCAAAACAACTGCCCAGGAATAAAGCTAGGGAAACGTTCCTTCCTGCTCCCCTAAAATTCTAACCCCCCCCCAATTCACTCTTCTAAACAGTAGACAACAAATTCCATCAGCAGTGATTATCGTACATATGCAGAATTCTAATAGAATATTTTGGGAAATAAAAACAGTGGAACTCGACACACATGCTGTGGTGAATTAAAAGCATTGCCCTCTATACATCAACGCCTTTGTGCAACAGCTGTTTATTTCTAGACTCTTCAAAAAATGCATCTGGTCATCTAGGACAACTGGAAACAAACCCAAGAGAAAGAAGACAGATTTACATCTGACTTACCTAGCAGAGCAGTGTTGTCCATAAGCATCTTTCCTTTGTCTGCATATTCCTCACTGAAGAAATCACCCATAAGCAATAACTTGATAGCTTCTTGCTTCACGTTGTCAAAGAAATTTGACTGAATGGTGCGTGACACAGAGCGGGCTCCATCCTTGAGCTTCCCCACCTGCATTAAGCAAACATTGTCAACAGAGCTGACTTTTGCAGTAATAGTATATACTTCTTTGAAAGTCACTCATGAATAAGCTGCTCTGCTATGCTCCTTTACCTTGGCTTTCCCCTCCAGGGCACGACTGCCTGTAAATGCTCTGCTCAGATTGTGACCATTGAGAGTCCACATTGCCTTGTAGGACTCCACAAAGCGATCAACTATAGACTTGGAGTTCAACCCTAGGCTTTCTAACTGAGTGTGCAAAACCTGGAATAAACAAAGAGAGGTAAAGAAAAAAAGTTACTTTTAATGTTTCATTCCTCCACTCACCCTACCCCTCATGTAGGAATTTCACCCAGTCATCATTCTACTGTTAGACTTATGCAGGTGCCCTAATGATGGAAAGACAGAGCTATATTACTGTAGACTTTTCTCTTGCCCTTTCTGGTAGGGCACAAAATACAATTAGAGTGCGTATGTATGTTTATGAACTCACCTCAAGTGCAATGAAGGATTGTACGCTATTCGTACGATCCAGACAGTCCAGGCAATTCATTCGCAAGGTACCTGTTTGTAGACTTTAACAGCAAAAAAGAGAAATAAAAAGAATAGAGAGATACAGCAGATTATTAGGAACCTCCACATCCAGTTGATACTGATAAACTATTGTTTTCTTTTATCATCAGAAACATTTAAGTTAAAAGTCAATAAAAATGGCATTTCTTCCACAAGTAGATAGGACCAGATTTTAAAAACATTCAGCCTGGATTTTTCCACCCAGATTTTGCAGGTGCAAAACTCTTGCCTGCTCAATTTGTTTCAAGTACCGCACTGTGCCTCCAAAACCACTCCAGCAATTATGCGTGATACTTCCAGAGCAGGTGCCAAATCATACCAAGGCCCTAGGCCTCACTGAACACTGACAAATGCATAGCTAGAAATCAGTCTGGCTCACCTGTGTATTAGTAGTGCTAAAACCAGTATTAAATTTACAAAAATTTGTTCAGATTCTATGCCATGAGTCTGGTGAATTGCTGCCTGCATTAATCACACTTATGAGCGCTGTATCTCATGTTCCATCGTAATATGTAAGTGTTCGGTCTGTAATTATAACAGTATTTCTTAAACCATAACCTCCCCCCCCCACACACACACACAGCCAGGAGAGAAGTACTGCCAAGTGTGAAATGTCAGTTTATCACAAGAGGTGTCATCTCCTCTCCAGGTAAGTCATTTTGGAACATCAGGGGACAAAAGGCTTTGATGATTGCTCCTCTTACAGCCATGAAGAGGAGATGTGCACAAACTCACCCGTTAGCTTGAGCTCTGGTGGAAGGGAACAGAAATCCCTGTCAATCCCATCTACATGTTTTGTTCATCTATAAAGTGCTACCAGATCATTTGTTGTTTTTTTTTCTGTACAGACTAACTTAGCTCCCCCCTGAAGCTTCAAGAAGAAATTGTTATCCTGTGCTGCTTGGACATCAGGAAGAGAGCAAGACTTCTAAGCAGGCGAAAGAGAACACTGGCTGTTAAGCTTGAATTAGCCCTAGCGGACAATAGAGCTTGTTTATTATAGAAACTTCTATTACCTTTTGGAACTTAAGACTGTAACTCATTTGTGTGTATATTTACCTGCTTCAACCTTGTAAATGACTTTCTTATTTCTTTTTCCTAATTAATAAAGTGTTAGTTTATTATAGGATTGGCTACAAGTGTTGTGTTCCTGAGAGATCTGAAGTTGACCTAGGGTAAGTGACTGGTTCTTTGGGACTGGAAGTAAACTGATTATTATTGTATTTTTTAGTGTAAGTCTATGTGGTGAGACAGATTGAAATATCCCAGGGGACTGTCTGCGACTCCATGTTAAAACCATTATAGTGCTTGGTTGGTGAAATCTAATTATAACTCATACAACTGGTTGGGGGTTTGTGCCCTGGTTATTAACAATCTGCCCTGAGCTTGGTACTCATGTTTGTGAGCTATTCTAGGCAATCTGACAATACGCAAAAGCAATTTTCCATGGGCAAGAAACTAGAGAACTAGTGAAGACCTAGTGGTAAATTTGGCAGGGGAAAAGCAAACTTGGAACTGTTAGCAATTATCTTTGAAACTCCTGGAGGAGAGGTGAGGTCCCAGGCAACTAAACGAAGGGCAAGCATGTTGCCTCTCTTTCAAGAGTGGAACAAAGAAGGCATGGGGAATTATAAATCAGTCAGCTTAACTTCAATTCCTGGAAAGATACCAGAATATCAGTTACTCAGTTTGTAAGGGCCTGGGGGATAACAGAGTTTTAAGGAAGAGTAATCATGGAGTTATCAAGAACAAATTGTGCCATACCAGCCTAATTTCCTTCTCTGACAGCATTGCAGTCCTAGTAGACTAGGGAGGAAGCTGTACATGTGATAGACCTTGATTTTAGTAATACTTTTGACTCAATCCCACAGGACATTATCATAAGAAAACTAGGGAAATGTGGTATAGCTGAAATTCCTATAATGTGCTGCACAATTGCTTGAAAGGCCATACTCAGAGAGCAGTTGTCAATGCTTTGCTGTTAAAACCGAGAGGGTGTATCTAATAGTGTCCCAGTCAATCATAGGTCTGCTACTATTCAATATTTTCATTAATGACTTGCATAATGGACTGGGAGTGTATGCTTACAAAAATTGACCTAGGAGTGGATGCAGGTATGTTGAAGGACAGGACTGGGCAAATTAGAGAATTGGTCTGCATTCACCAAGACCAAATTCAACAAAGACAAGTTCAAATTAGCTCACTTAGCAGGGAAAAATTAAATGCACAATTTACAAAATGAGGAATAACTGGTGAGGTGGTAGTGCTACTGAAAAGGATCTGGGGGATACAGCGGATCACAACTTGAATGAGAGTCGATGGGATGCAGTTGTGAAAAAGGCCAATATCATTTTGAGGTGCATAAACTGAAGTGTTATTGGGAAGTAACTGTCTCACTCCACTTGGCACCGGTGAGGTTCTGCTGGAGTACTGTGTCCAGTTCTAGTTTAGGGAAGATGTAAACAAACTGGAGAGAGCCCAGAGGAGAGCAACAAAAATTATAAAAGGTTGGAAACCTGACCTAAAAGGAAACGGTAAAAAACTGGGCATGTTTAAATTTGAGCAAACAATACTGAGAAGGGATCTGATAATAGTCATCAAATATGTTAAGAGTTGCTACGAAAAGACAAAGATCAATTGTTTTCCATGTGCTCTGTAGGACAAGGACAAATGAGTTAATCAATAGCAAGGAAGATTTAGGTTAGATATCAGAAAAGCTTTCTAACTACAGGGTATACGTCCCTCATCTGGCATCCTCAAGCCTTGACCAGTCTCGATCGAAGGGATTTGCAGGACCAGGGGAGGTCTCCTGCCATTGGCCTCCCAGCCTGCTGCCTGTTTCTGGCCAATGCCTGGCACCATTGGCCCCAGACCTGGGCTCAGGCCCTGACCCTCCTGCAGCCAGCCCGGCCAGAGCTCTCTGGCTGCCACTGGCCCCACTGTTGCTGTGGCTGGAGCTCCCTAGGGCTGGGAGCCAGAGCTCCCATTACACTGCCTGCCCCTCTGCCACAGGCTCCCGGCCAAGTCTCTGGCTCTCCCACCAGACGTCCTTTTTCCTGGGCTCTATGGTCCAGGAATATCCATGGTCCTGCCAGAACACAGATGTTGCTGGACCAGAGTGTGATGGTTTAGAAAGATACAACCTGTATAAGGGTTTTTAAGCCTGGACCATGCTTCCAAGGGAAGTTCTGGTAACCCCACCTTTATAGGTTTTTAAGAACAGGTTGGACAAACATTTGTCTGGGATGGTTTAGTTTACTTGCTCAAGCTCCAGCAGCTGGGGCTTCTGTGTGACAGGTCCATTGGTCCAGATAGTCCATTATCATCTACCAGTGTCAGTATCTGATGCTTGAAAGGAATGTAAAAAAATTCTATACACCACCCACAGACTGGTACAGTGTTGTAACTGCGGCAGGAAAGGAAATTCCTTTCTGAAGCCAGGCAACCAAGTTCGCACCATGAAGCATGACATTCGATTACACTTCTTATCTTGCATAACTGTAAACAAGCCATTTTCAATTTTCTGTCAAAATAGTTTTTTTCTCCTTCCTAAAATTATAGTGGTTATTTATTTTGGAAGGCTCCATGTTGTTTATTAGCTCACTCCCAGATCCTCTTGTACACTGGTACTTCCATTAACAAAAACTACCAGGACAGCTAACAAATCAATATTTTCAGCATCACTTGCTACAACTACTTTTAGTTCTAGGTGGACCCTTTCTATCACAGTACCTTAACAATTTTTTTAAAAGCTAAACTAAGTCTGTGAACAGGACATTTATACTCTGAGGCAAAACAAACCGGACATGGATCCATTACTGTGTCATCTAATTGAAATGATGCCTAGGGAGAAAGCTCCACAGAGTTAACTGAATTTATAAATCAGAACTATAAATGGTAAAATAAAATGAATGGGACCTAAATTTTCAAATGACCTCTGTTTGACAAAGCTCATGTGTACAAATGAAAGCTACTTGAAAATCTGAACCAACAACATGCTTTTATAAACATAAATACCACAGAAAGCTACAGCAGTCTCCAAACAAAGTAATGAACTTGGTTCAGTAGATGACACGATTTGTGTATGGAAAGTGATAGAGGGGCAGGGATACTCACCGTGCAGGTATATTCTTGCCCTTTGTGAAGATGCCAAATTCATCCCAGTGTAACTTTAGCTGAGGTCTCAACAAATTCTCCAGCTTCTCTATTTTCCCACCTTTTGCAAACTGATGGTAGTCAAAATTAATCATGGGCGTGTCTGCAGCATGTGAAGAGGCCCACAGCAATTTCTATTTGAAGAGGGAAGAAGGAAAGCAAATTCTCCTTATTTTTACAGCCCAGATATCAGTACCTGTATGCTTTACATTGTTGATATAATTTAGTCCTGGCTTTAAAATAAAGTCTAGTGGGAAGTATGTTATTTTGTTGTATGCTTTTCTAATGCAAGTTCCTTGGGTGGTTTTTTTTCTTTCTATTCCAAGAGTAAATTGGACTGTTAGAGCCAAATTTTCCTACATGGGAACCTAAGTTGTAATCTACCATATATTTGAGAGAGTTTGTCTATCTGTCTGTGTCTGTTTGTTCAAGAACGCCTCCTAAACGGTAAGTAGTCAGACCACCAAATTCAGTATACAGCTTCCTCTTATCATAACTTAAAGCAACATAAGGGTTTGGTTGTGCTAGGAAAATGGGATGTGCCTCAAATGGGACTGCTTCTCACAGAACCATACAGAAGAGAGACAGAATCACTGTTCAGGCAAAAGGGGCAGGCTGGCTGGCCTCCATCCAGGACTGCCCCAAACCCAAGCCCCCCCAAAGTGCCTTTTAGGGAGGGTAAGGGAGACTGAAGTCCCCACCCCAATTTGTACAGGGACATGCTGGCTGTTCCCCTTCGTCAGCGAGCCAGGGGAAAGTGCACAGATTGCTGCATTCCTCATTCTGGTTGAGGGGCACAGGGACAGACAAGATTTACTCTTGCTCTCTGACAGGGCCAGGAAGGGGAACAACAAGCAGCCCCACTATGAATCAGGGTAGAGGGGCTTTGGCCCTGCCAACCTTCCCCTCCACACACACACGTGCACACACTCCACTGCCCAGAGCTCCTCCACTCCCCCCAATTCTGACTCCTGCACCCGCCCTCATTCCCAGCCTCTGCCCAGAGTCCCTCCTTAAGGACCCAAGCAATTCTGGGTAACTGTGCTAGTTGTAAAGTATAGGTGCAAGCTGGTTATATGTGTATAAACACAAGCAACTTTACACATAAGTACCTACATGGCCTCAACAGTCTAGCTTTAAGGGAGGAAAAAAAAAAGATGTTACAACCCAAAAACATACAATGGAATAACGTTAGTGATGAAGACAAAGCATGACACTTTCCTTGTATGGCTGCTCATGATGTATGTACAATCATCTTATATTTTATTAACATATATCAAGCACTATTCACAATTCTATCAGAAACCCATAAACTAGTAAGAATACCTTTAACTGAGAGTATTTATGGCCTTGTCTATACCTAGTACGGACACTCTTATTTCAGTTTATGAGTGCATTTTTCCATTTAGCTTATGTTGCTTCAGAAGGGATTTCAGCTTAACTGAAAAAACCCCACTCTGATACCAAACTAAAAATTGTGTCCCCACAGGGTTATAACTATATCAGTATAACCAGTAAAACTTCCATGCACAGACAAAGCCAAAGCTATTGTATGTAGTTTAGTGAGGAGATGTATTTCACTGTATTGTTACCAGAATCAAACACACATTTCTCTGGTAACTGTCCACATTTCAGTTTATATTTACATTTGACTGCACTGGTAGTGTTCTTGGGAATGATATCTCACAACTGCCGTCGTGAAAATCATTCTAAAAAGTACTGCACACTATACTGTTGCTTTGTTTTAGTATAAACTTAAATTGCAGTCTGTTAGGGGGTGTCTAAACTACATGGCTCCGTCAATGGAGCCATGTAGATTAGGCTGATCTGCAGAGGGAAATGAAGACGCGATTTAAATAATCGTGGCTTCATTTAAATTTAAATGGCTGCCGCTCTGAGCCGACAAACAGCTGATCAGCTGTTTGT